TATTTGGTAAAAATAAGTTATATTTTATTATTATGCAATTTTTGGTTTGAGTAATTGATTAGTAATACTGTAAAATACCTTATTTTTTCTGAAAACACTTTTTGGGTCTTTTATATGGAAATTATTTTCACTGATTTTTGGCGAGTTGAATGTAAAATATGGAAAAAAAAAGGTATCGGTATATTCGCTGGATTTTGTTTTCACTGAACCACTCCTTCAGTGAAAATAGCGAAAATAAAATATTTTACAGTAGAACATATATTTTATGAATAGAAACCCAGAAAATATGGTCATTACCAGCAAACATGTTCACTGACAGAAGTGATCACACTACATGTTTGTACTTGGTTATATTTATAGTATTGTAAAACTTCAGCAGTATTATACAATTCACTGTCCTGCAACCCTTTACTTTACCTTGGTTAATTTGTTTTTTATCAACCACTATGACATTTTCAACATCCACCATCATCAATTCATCCTTGGCATTCACTGCGAAGTTCTCGTAAGTTACGTCTGTCATGTACAATGCGAAATCCTCTTCATTATTAGTGAATTTTTCAGCAATAGCGAATGCCTGGTAGGCAAAATCTACTCTTATCTGCCAAGGTTCACTGTAGTAATAAAACAGTGACTTGCCAACATTTTCAAGCACGACAAATCTTCCACAGGAACCAATGAATTTTGGAAATGGCCAACCATTGGACTGAGAAAAGACCTATAACAGTAGATGAAGATAAAAATATGAAACTAAAAAATGATCCATATAAAGTACATTAATAAATAAATTAAATATGGAAAGTTTACTGTGGGGAAGATGCTGGCATTCCATATAATTTTTCTTCCTTTACAGAGCAGTATTTCCTCTGAGCAAATTTGACACTGAGCACTGTAAAAATAAAATTAAATATTAAATTTGATAACATATACCGGTAACATTGGTAGAGAAGTTACTCGGATGATTTACTAAGTGATTTTTCGTTACCTTGCATGTCTTGCATATTGCGTTTTATTTTCATAGCTCAATGTTGAAATGCCAGTCTTTGAAAGAGAATTATAGCATACCATTACCAATCAAAATAGACTATCATCGAATGTGTATAACACATTATTAAGCATCAAAATACTCCTAAAATACTTTCCATTTGTCAAATCCCATGCAATGTTTTGACCTTTGTTTGTTTTGACGTTAGATTTCACGCATAACATGGGATTTCACAGAGAATGGAAAATGGAAATTTTTTCTGCCAAGCTCTATTTTTAACCACAGTAGATGTTTCAAACCTATTACCCCTACTGTTTATACTGAAGTGCAAGGGTACAAACCAAATCCTCCCTATACAACTCACCTGGGTAGTCAGAGGTTCAGGATTAAATGCTAAAATTACCATCAGCATAATTTTGTTTTCTGCTGATAGAATCCCATCGACAGGCTTTTCTGCTTCATAAATATTCCATATGCGGTCCAGTAATCTCTGCGAAGGACAGCGTACCAAATCTGACAAACCTGTCACATCTTGAGGAGTCAAGCCATCTTTGTCATTCAATTTACCAAGGTGTGACGCAGGGATGGCCATTGATACGTCACAGTCTGGCTGAAGCTTTGCATTCTTACATATGTCCCTATCAAAGGTTTCAAACTCAGTGTTGTGTCCAAGTCGTTTTAAAACCACATTTTCATAGTTATATATTCCTTCATATACATTCTTGATGTTGACAAAGTCAAAGAATCGAAACTTTGAGTAGGAAACCAGCCGTAGATTACCGTCCATGAATTCCTCGCAGAGCGATGTACCAAAGCATGCAGGACATTTATCAGAGCCGGTGAATTTCTCATCTTTCAAATCGTTATCCCATAATTGTGGCGCCACAAGATACTTGACAACAAATGGTAATAGCAATATATTCCACATATCATAATCAGAATAACAACCGCTTTCTGCCTTTTCCCCCATCGACAGAAGTGTCTTAGACTGGGTCTCCTTAACATTTCTATGATGTCCATCAGAGTTGAATATGAGCATTCTAAGTAGTCGAAAAACACGGCTCAGATAATATCATAGATACAAGTACGAACTGTACACCGGTAAAAAGAAATACAAGAGACAATTTATAAGTGTAAAATGGAAATTCCATGTAAAAAGCTTCAATATAATTTCAACAGTTGTGAGTAAACATTCCACCATACATTGACATAAAGAGACTATATATAATTATTACAATTTGCCAACATAAATACCCTTTTACATTACTGACACATAGATGAATGGATGAATTTGCATGTATACGAAGTATGTGGAGGAAAGGACATAAGGCAACTAAATTATTTGAGAATTAAGACCAATAAGTAGAAATCAATGACAAGGAGTTGTGCATTTTTTTGTGTATACTGTGTCAGTCACATCTATCACTACCTTTTATTATAAACACTTTATTTTAGCAGAAACAACTGCAGCACGTTTTTCTCCAGTTATGCCATTAATCAAGCTACATGTCCTGCTCTCTATATATTCCTCATAACACTATACATAGGTCATTTTTTTTAGCATAGATCACCAAACAAAATTACCAAAACAATACTACTCAAACAGGCATTTTTAGAGGATTTTTGTATAGAACTTAGTTCAGTGGCAATATATTTTATTTCAGAATAATTTCTTGGATTTCGAGGGTTTCTGAGTATGTTTTTAAAGTAGCGAACTACCTTAAAGTTAAGACAAGGAAGTGGTGATCAAAATTGAAAATGCTATGGCAGTACATATAAGTGAAAGTTGTAACGAATTTATCCTCACTACAAGATGTACCGGTACTTACAGTCACTGTATCTTACATCTAGTAACCGTGCATTAACGGATAAACCATTAGAAACCCAGGAAGTGATTACAAAAAAATATTAATTGATTAATCGCTGTGATTAATTTCAGTGTTGGAGTGTGTTTGCAACACTTCACAATAATAACGTCGACGAATGTGTTACTGTGATGCATTTATCAACAACCAATACTTACGCAAGTGACTTTCAATAACCGCATATTACTCCAAAACATCAACAAACGCTGGTAAACAAACACCCCTCCCCGATTCACACGGACGCAGCCATTTTGTCTCCCTCAAAGGATGATGGGAAAATGTCAGTTCACGATTTAATTTATACTAATACTGTATCTAAAGTTGATGTGGAACCTGGCTTGGTAGTTCGGTCTATGCTTGGGTTAAAATACACAACCATTTTCAAGTATACCGAAAAATAGCGAGTTGACTGTGCTTTGTGTATAAAACAAAAGCAGACAAAACAGACCGTTTGGTGGCGCTGTCATTAAAAGAATAAACGTGGAGCAAAAAAACAGGCTCTCGAAACACGGACCCCGTATGTCTGAGTTGTATGAAGGTTTTATTTTCACATGCATCTGTGGTGTACATGTCTCCATCACAGACATGATACAAATGTTATTTGAAGTATTTGCAGTTTCACTTTGGCGACTGAGATATGGCGCAGAGAAAAAGACGGAAAATGAATAATAAAGCGAAAACAACAGGGTCACGCTTCAGTTGTTTTTTGCTTTTGTTTTTTTAAATTGTTTTGCGGTCAGATAACAAATATAGAATTAAGCAAATACATTTTATAGAAAATATTAATAAAATTTTAGTTTTGGTGGAGTCTACTGTATTTTAATCAGATTGGCTGACATCGTTCATGAAAGAAAGTTGATTCGGTGTACATAGCCTATCATTTATAACTCTTCATGATACAACTTGAATCTGGTGTGTATCGAATAAAACTGAAAACATGTTTTTACGTATTTTGTTATATAATCAAAAAACAAACAAACACCAGTTCAAATTATCAACCTGTGACAAAACTGTATGTAAATGAATAATACTGACGTCATAATTGTTGTCACTAACATTTCGTAGCCAACATGTTTGCGCCAAAATGTCTCGCGTCTCAATTTGCCATCAATGGAGTTGAAATTATTTATTGTAATTGAAGTGTATGGAACGTGTAAGTGCATTTACAAATATGACAATATTTTTAACTATTAAACACCATGTGCACCATGTGTCAGCAGTAGCGTACACACCTCGGTGGTTGTTTACTTCAACGTCCCATGCGTGTGTAGGACCGAAACACGCCCTCACGTGACGTCAGAAACATCAGATTGAATTCACGGTTAACTATTAACTATTTACCTCCATGATTAACCTAACCTCAATTAACTACTTAAAGTACAGGCGTTCAAACTTATTTCACAGTTATATACCGGAGACCACTTTCAGGAACAAATCACCCCTTATAAAATTGAATACACCAAAGTCGTGTGTGTATATTGCGTAGATCTGGAATGCAGGGAATTAAACGAGCTGCGCTTAACCTGACGGCAAAGGCATCCCCACACGCCGAGCTCGGTATGGTGGTGTATGAACAGAAGTGTTATCACGATGCCTTGTTGAAGATGATATCGTCGAGAACCAACGGTGAGTACAAGATAATTCCACATGAGGCGGATTCATACTAGGTTACGAATACGTTGGTTCCTACACGTGAGTCAATAATTGTACTGGTCATAAGGGGAGATGTCCTGTCGGGCTCTTGCAATATTCTGAGAAGACGCTGTTGTGTGTACATGTACATTTTATCGACCTATAGTTTACAACCTGTCGCTTTACTCTGAAGCTTTCAGTTGTAATGACATACGGATTTGGTACGACACGGATTTGACGTTTTCGCAAGCCCATGTTTGAAAAGTTGCTTTGTGTGACAATATTTCACATTTCATGTGTCACATTTCGACCCAAGATGCCTATGTATAAATACAGAGTAACGGCGTGTGTGTCTGAAGGTATTCCCATCATAAATACATCTACAAACAATTCTATGCTAAGATTGTGCAGCGACCGAATTAAATTGCATAGTGTCACGAACACGATATGAACACACACCGAAGTGGTGTGGGGTTGAGGGGACTGACATGATTGGTTAGCGATGATCAGTTACATCGTTGCGCTGCTTCCATACACTGGTGTATGATGATGCAAGCATGTGACGATGTGTGGCGTATCGTCACTTCCTTGATGTGAATACAGGTTACGTTGGGATATACATGCACACGTTGTGGAAACATAGATTACACGTAATTTAATCTGATATTTCCACTGTGTTCAAACTGGTGTTATGGTGTCCACCAGGCGACGTGATGGACGTATGTACTACTATGACACTGAAATCATGGACACCGTAGTACATGTATTATGACATCGCCTAGTAGTCGATATAATGTTGTTATACCCAAAACATAAATCATTCTAAAATAGTTTGTCAATGACATATTTGTCGAATTGTGAATAAGTTGAATATTGTACTGTAAGCACTGTTAAATAACGGCCGTGATTATTATACACAAATACACAAAGTAACGAACAGCTCTCGATCAATCGAAAATGATTATTTAAATGTACTTGAATAGTTGTTGCTAGCTTCCCTAGTCCCCCTTCCCGAGCATCCTGGTTTTCGTTTTATCCCGTTTTATCTCAATTCTGCAATTTCAAATGTTCAAATCTTATACCAGACGACTTACGATATGTATAATATGTAGTGACTTGTGTAAAAACGCCAGTCAAGCAGGATGAAATAAACTAGCATGCTACGAGGAAGTGATACTAGTTAAAGATCTACTTGAACATTAAATAATCTCCAAGTGGGGCCAGCCGGCCTTGGAGATAACTGCCATAATGATAGATCACAAAGTTAAAGGGCGGTGGTCGGTGGATTTCCCATAATCCAATGCGCTCTTCTAATGGAAATCACAAGTATGAGGTTTGACCTGGGCGCGACTTGCACTGAATACCGCTGGTGACTCCTTCGATGCCTTCCAATCACCTAACAATATCCCCATTAAAGCTTGGTAACGTCTCAGTTTTTACTCATTGATCTGCGCAACAGTCAAAGTCGCCATCTTTGTTTATATGAGACCCATATATATCGCGCATGCGTGGTGCGACGACTACCACCCTTTAACCAGATGTTCTCCGTGTATTCAATTTAGTTATGTCAGCTATGTTAAAATGGGTGGCGAAAGAAGAGAATTTTGCGATTAAAGATGTCTACGCTAGAATGGCAGAGTTGGAATGGATGTGGTCTAAAGTAATGCACGACTACTGCATACAGGTAATAATACTGACAGACATGGTGGTAGGTATCGAGTTGATAACACACGCATATCACGACAAACAAACAAATGTGGGAAAATGTGGCCTGGCTCAATTTTCCTGATAACTTGTCGTTAATTGACCTATTTTTTTTTATTTTTTTTTGCACTGGGACACGTTTTGATCACATACAAGAGTTATAATCACGGCTTGAATTACGTTACAGACTACATACAGATTGTATTGTCACCGGGAATTGAACCATTCATCATGCCACGCAAATTATGCCCACTGTCGACTATTCTCTGACGGCACGCAACATGCAAAACATATACTAGTAATGAATTCCGCGCAATTTTTTTTTACTACCGTTGAATGATAATAAAATAAGGGTCCGAGCACACGTTTTCTACTGACTATGCTGACAGGGAAGGGAAGATGGTTGCTTTGGAAATAATCAATATTGATATAGTTGGTTCGACATCGCATCATGTTTGGATATCGTTCTAGTTTGGCGGGCAACGGTTATAATTCATACAACTAATTGAATCATAGTATAAATCTGTTTGTCTGCAAAACATGCATTTGAAGTAATATTATAGGGGATCACTTCCGGGAGCACAAACGCAAAATAACTTGAATATGTGTTTTTATCCGAATTCATTAGCATAATAAAATGACTGATGTGTTTTATCATGTATAATATTGATTTCTGAAATCACGATGTACAATGTCCACAAAATACCGACAATCTAGTCATGTATTGAGTAGTTGATTCGATCCCGACAACTTGTACATTGCATTTGCACAGGAACGAATCTTACGCGTGCACACGTTCAACGACGTGTCTTGCCATCGAGTCAATAATCTGAATGATGACATGTATAACTTATGAGTGAACCGTCCTAGTTTATTATATTTCCCAATTCACATGCAATGTTACACTATATAGATTATGATTTTTGCGCTATCGATTATATGACCAACTTAATAAGTAACCAAATCTACGAATTGAACTTGACTTGAGGGTAGACGCGTCTAACGTTTGGCAGAAACATGTCTTAAACTTTACGGAACTATTCATTGTGATGACTGTTCCAAATTCAAAATGACTTGAATTTCAAATATTTGTATATTAACCCTTTTCAATTTAAAATGACCTCTAAGTGTTTAATGCTATGGGAAATACGTCATCGGGTGCCCTTTTTGTATTTGCTCTTTGTCATATATTTGATGGAGCATTTAATGGTGGTCATCGCGCCGCGTCCTGTTCATAGCGCCGTATACAACGTGTGGAAAATACATTGCTTATTTACATAAAATTAGAACACGCGCTGCGCGACGACCACCGCCCTTTAAATTGCCCTTTCCGCTTTTTTTCCTAGTTAGATCCCCGTTGATTCTTATCGGGAGGTCGAACAAACACGTTAAATGAGCGTATTCTTATATATAATTATTGTCTTTCAGAACGCGAATTACAGAAAAACATTTAAGACGTTAATCGGAGAAGAAAGGGCCGTGGATGAATACCGTAAATCATTCGCCACGTGTCGGGCTAAAGCCGACCAAACACGGAAACAGGTTGGTCAACACTCAGTGTGTGTCAAGTGTTCCTCTATAGAAACGCGAGATTGGCGAGAAGTCATCAATATTTACGAGTAATTTTGTAATATGTTTTTCATTCAGGCAGAGAAGTATTCAAAACAGAAGAGAGGCGATTCAACCAAACTGAAGACAATAGATGCAGAATTGGCCGCGGTAAGTAATTTAAATTTAAATTTTAAATTATTATGGGACTTTTCACACATTTCATTAACTCTAAAAAATACTATGGGTAGTAACTCTTAATTTTAAATCTGTTTCCCACAGACAGATGTCATTGTTTAAATTAGAAATGAAACTGCTACCGCCAGTTGCCTTCAGACGCTAAGACAATCATTTGAAAATTAATACTAGGCGTCATTTGGTCGTCGTCGGTTTCCCACGACTCAACAAATAAATAAATTAATGATAAAATCTTTAAAACCTTTTAGCACATTCATGACATAACAAGTCATTGCGAATTTATTTATGGATGTACTGGCTACAAGACAATGCGTTTTCCAAAAACAAAAGAAAAAGCAATTGACACCCCAAGTGATTCCCTTTAAAAAGTGTTGACATTCTCATTCAAGATGAGCCACTTGGTAACATCAACTCCACGCCGATAGCAACAACTAGCGATCAGCCTATCAACCTCGTGTGCTACCGTAACTCAGTGTTTTATTCCAATAGACGTATGTGAAACCAGAAATAACGACGTGCCTTTTATCGAGTATTGCTTGTATATGTATATGAGTGTTGATTTCGTGACACATGTGCCGTGATCTCGGAACTCAAGCAGCCAAGTCGAGTGAGCGATTCCCCTCCATCCTCAAACCCGGTGACCTCTGATTCCCTATAGTCACTGGCCAGAAAATATCCACCCCTTTCTCAAAAGAACTACAAAAAAAAGTATTACTGTAACAATGGATTCAAAGTTAGGTTGGGAATAGCAATCTAGAAGAATTAATTGAAATTCCTGTTTCATTGAAACATGTCTAATTACTTTGTCTTTTCTCACAGAATTGAAACCTAGTTGGTAACAATTAGTAAACAAAGCTGGATTCAGAAAATTTCCCCATAAATAAAGTTGTAGTTGCTTCAAGATATAATGTACTGACTAATTTATTTGGCTTGAGCTCCCCTTTCTTCAATAATATTAACTAAATAAACCGTACTTAAACAAACACACTGGATGATATTAGTTCATTAGTATTTCATTTCATTTCATTTCATATCATAGTAGTGTGATTGGTGTGGGTGGTCAAAATCTGACTCCATAATATGTAAGCTTCAAGTTATGCATAATCTATATAGAAATCGCACTGAGAGGGTTGCGTCTAAAACAATCTGAAGAAGTATAATCATTATATTGCAAATAAATGAGACAATCTTTTAAAAAAAATATAATTATTATTATCATTAATGTTGTTACTGTGATGGAAATAATTTGATTTCAGGATTCGTAGATTATTAGTCCGACTCATTGGTGATTGAATTGTTACTAAAGAAATGCACAATGCAATATTTTTAATATGAGAAAGTACGCTACTGATGGACGAGCATCGTCCCATGCCGTGTGCTGTAGTTCAATGTATGTGATATCATGTTATGTTTAATATAGGCATACGGAAGAGAAGAAGAAGCCGGTGCGGTATTTGAAAGAAGGCAGATGCAACTTGAAAAACAGAAGGTTGGATAAATAAAACGAACATTTATAAATTCGGTTGCTAGAAACATTTATTTATTTATTTGTTTGTTTGTTTTCTTATTTATTTTATTCATTATGAATTCATCTCATTTATTTAATCTTCAATTTTCAGGCATCTATGATCAGAGAAGCAGCAGTGATGTATACAAATTCTTGTCAAGAAATAGCTGAAAAAATGGTTGAGATTTTTAAGGCCCAGGGCGAATTAGCCGATCTGATTCCAATTATTCCAACACAACACAGCAAAACTAGAGTATATCACGGTAGGTTTTATTGTTAATGTTTGTTAACGCTTGGATAATAACCAGAAGTTGTTTGATTTATACTTATTTCAAAATTGCTGTTCAAATCACAGGCCCAGAAAAAAGTGAGCAGATCGTTAAGCAATTAACTGCCAAGTTGGGATTGGAAAATATGCCTAACATGACAACGGATCCTGCCTATTCTAGCGTATACCAGACTTGGGATGATCAGCCCAACGAACCTGCTCCAACTTCTTTGTTTTATACCCCTCAACCAGAACTAGATACAAGCAGTCCAGGCAGTCCGGTACCGCCTCCTCGTCCTGTGGAGTCTGTCACGAATGCATCTCAAGGTATTTATAACGCACTGCGCATGCGTAGCTTATATTTGGGACAGTATGCTTCTCCCAAAACACAACACAACGTAAGGACGCATCACCTACCACTCCCAGGATCCCTGTGGTATGATAAATACAAAATTGCAACTTGTGTGATTGGAAGTGAGACACGGTCGTATCCACGATAGCAACTTGTGTGATGCAAGTTGAGATACGGTCGTATCCACGATTGCAACTTGTGTGATGGGAAGAGAGATACGGTCGTATCCACGATTGCAACTTGTGTGATGGGAAGAGAGATACAGTCGTAACTATTACGATAGCAACTTATGTGATGCAATATGAGACAGGGGTCATGTCGCTGATACAAACTTGTTTATAACCAATTTAAATCGAGCTTTATTGAAATAAGTTTTCTATTATTGTGCCAACTACGTATCTCTACTGCAAGTAGCATGCCCTAAACGTAAATACAGTTCAGTACAAATTATATCGGGCGAAAAATATTCAGGATAGATTTAATTGGCACATTCACATTCAAGAATGTGCCAATTTGGCCAAGAATCTGTTCAATGGGGTAATGCTTGTTAAGACCCCCATTTTAGTCAAAATGGGAAATTAAGATCTCCTATTTTAGACAACTTTTGTTGAACTATAGCCTATTCCTATTTTGAGCTTGAAAACACCCCTCGGTTCTCCCATACCATTTGCAGGCTCTAGTGGCTGTTTTGATTTGGATAATGGTCAAAACATAGGACGACAAAATACAAGAAATCAGGTCGGAAACCATGAATATGGCTAAACACCTGAACGTATTTTTTTTTTAATTTCGTTTCCTTTTTTTACAGATAATATCGGAAATAATGATGATGACAGTGGCAGTGACAGTGACGCTTACACAGAACCTAACGTATTCGTACCAGGTTTAGTTGCTGCCAGCAGAGTACCGTCTTCTAAGTCATCCATCTGCTCCACCACCACCGAGACCGCATAGCACGCCAGGGGTAGCCATGACTTCAAAATCAAAACCTGGTGGCGGTTCCCCTAGGTTCAAACAAGGTCAGTTCTTAAAAGACTTGAAAATAAGGGATGTGTTTCTCATCGCTGATAGATGTAATGAATACAATCGTAGTTCACATTCGACCATATAACACATAGCACACAGCGGTGTGAATGAGCAAAAAATCACCACCCTCACGAGCACTTTTTCATATATTTATCTAAATATTCATTTTGAATCCTCACTGTTTGACTTATAACTCAGTATTTATATTTACATCTGCAGGTTCTAACTCTACCTCCACCAAAGTTGAATATATGTCATTCGAGCAAGGTAAAGTACTCACCTAAACTACCACATGATTATGTTATTGTAAACATATCATGACAAACGTGTGCGAAATACAGTTTTCCTATTACTAATAATATTATGTTTATGCTCAGACACTGATTGATTTTTTGTCTAATTGTTCATAGACAATTGGACATACGTATTATCCAGACATATACTGACATACTCATGTCTTGTTTTGTTTTTTTCAGAAACAGACGCGGAAAACATTTACCAAGAAATACCTTTTTATGACAATACATGACGAATGACTAACGGAACTATTTTATTATTGGTTTACAGTACAACATTTGCAAATGAAATCGGAATTGTTGGTCAACTATTTTTTCTTCTTTTTGTAACGTAATCTAGCAAGGAACCTGCCAAGAATTAGACAGTCCAATCCTCTCTTGATACAACATGCTAATTTTGGATTGTGTTCTTTGTTAATTTTTTTTTCGTTTTTTTCTGCATTATTTAACCTAAATCATAATACAAACATTAATGTATAATTTGTTCATACATACATAATATTAAGGTTTAAAATTATACCAATAGATAGATGTATCACAGTCACTTAAAGGTTGTATTATTAATCCCAGAGGTGCCGACCACATGTACTATATATCTGTATTCTTGGAATAATTTACGACACTGATCGTGACTTAATTTTGAAAATTGAATGTCAAATGTTACCATACCTGTGGACCGGCGTGATTTTGGTATCGTTATTTTTGGAATTAATCATTAATATTCTCCTCGTTTCTCCGCTCTGTCGAAAGGAGTTAGCTATCTTTTTTCACGTAACTGTCTTATTAAAATAAAATAAAAATATTACATTTAGAACAAGCACCCACAGGCCCGTAGCCAGCACTTTTGAATAGGGGGTTTGAAAACAACAATAATATATTTGATGTGAAACGTGTGAATTTTATACTATTCAAAAAGTGTCTTTGAGCTCTGATACAGACATTTTTATATTCTCGGTTTTAAATTCAATTGGTTTACTTTGTGTTACGTTGGTAAGTTATTTCAATATACAATCTTTGAACTATTTTACCATTTTCGATAAGGGGTCCTGAGCCATTCCCACAGACAAACACACCCACACCCTAGATCCACTACAGCAAAATGGTGTACACAAAAAAGACAAGACTGTACGTATCTTAGCATCATTGTCTACGCATTTTAAGGTAGAATGCTAGTTTTTTCGCTCTTCGGAGATGTTAGCGCACATAAAAGTGAAACAGTTTCATGTCGAAATCTGTCTACAATTATTCATTTTAGTATTAGTCAATTTTATATTATGTAATTTTATTTCTGTACAGGGACTCGGCCCATCGTAGAAAATGTAATGGTTAGACAAGTGCATAGCACGTTTTAAAAACAATACAACATCCATGTAAACATATGGTACTAAGTTCAGCTGGATTCATATTCATCTCGTTACTTGAAAACTTTTAAAAGATACAGAGCTAGTTAATATATGGTGTGGCAGTTTGTGTAGCGACGAAGTAAGCACAGACTGTCAGTATTTGCATAATTACTTAGGGTTATTGACAAAATATCAGCCCTTAGATCATTATAAAATGAACATATAAAAACAAAGTGAATTTCATTTTCTATCATGATAAATTCAAATATATCACTGCAAAAACTAAAAAAATATTGATCTAACTGTATTTGTGTGTGTGTGCCTAATTCAACATTACGTTTAGGCCAAAACAGCGAAAACTCGTGAGTATATATTTTAGTCTATAATTACTTGCCAATAAATCTCCCAGGTTATAATACTACTTTGATTTTTCCGAAAGTACACAGCCTGGATGATTGTAAAATTGAGGTATGCCATTCTTACTGACAACAATTTTTTTATTTTTTGAGAAAATATCTCTAAGAAATTTGCAATATCTCCAACTTGTTTTTCAAGCCAGACAATGTCGAAACCATATTTGAACAGGAGATTTTTATGTGGGTTTCCCAAGTAAGTCTGCCGGTCTTGTCTAAAGCTTTATAAAGCATGATATAACATGTTTTGGGGTTCCAGCTATTTTTTACTTCAAGTAATTTTAACCAATATGAGATACAACGCTTAAAATAACCACAGCAAAATGGCAGCCTTCCACATTCGTCCAACATCGCTACATTGTTTGTACAACTATTAACGCTAAGTAGATATCTGCAAAATGTTGTCTGCACCCTCTCGATTTCCGAATTTTCGTACCCCCATATAGATACCATAAGAAATAGCTGGCACAATGATTGCATCAAACAAAATAAATGCAGTAACCAATGGCATACCACCAAGGTTCTTATAGTATGTAAATGTTTTGGTTCACTGTAAATTTGTTTTTAGAGGGCGGTAAAATAATATGCATATAGTGGCAGTTTAGCAGCGGTCTCAATAGACTTCAATGACTACATATCCTTTTTATGAACCCACTAAAAATATAGTAAATCTTCTAAAGACATCAAAAAAACGTGTAACAAATATGTTTGAAAAATATAATTCATCGCATAGTTTCAGTGCTGAAGCAACACACTGTGGGGTAAATTGTTGGCTGCAAGAAGCTCTTCGACCTATACAACTCGTTGATGATAAATCTTCGGACATTTTTTTAATGATATGTTCAACTCGTAGCTGTACACTATTGTCCAATAACAGAGGCTACACGTACTAATACAATAAGTTGTCTACATTTGGCTGATACGCTTAGAACAAAACAGTATATATGCCATCATTAACTTGAAGAATACAAAACTAATGAACCAAACTAGGAAAGTACAGTGTGGTGTTGTTGTGTCAATCCCCATACTTTACTAACTGAGCGAACACTAGCACAAGGGCTATTCAGGGCCACTATGTTCAATGTTGTTTTAATATTTAACATTCAGCTGCTTGAACGCGATCTTCATTACACCATCGCGG